CATGAAATAAGATAAAGATTACATTCTGATGTCTTAAGATAAAGACTATAAATTAGAGCTCTGTGTAACACTATAAAGATCTTGATGTTTTTGTTCAAATTCATTACGCGTAAAATCTTTGAAATAAGATTAAGACTTTGAAATTAGATGGTAATGTCTTGAATTAAAGATTAAAACGTAGAGTTTTGCAGTAACACGATATAAATCACAAAAAAAAATGTTTAGCTGTAGATAAATGATAAAGGTTTTAAAATAATATAGCAATCTTTAAGAAGAAGGTAAAACATAAGATAAATAAAAGATAAAGATTATAGTAGTTCAATTTTAAAATAAGTGAATATTTGAAATAAGATAAAGATTATAAAGCAGAGATTTGAATAGGTAAAAATCTTGAAAAACATATGGCTACCATGTTCTACTCAAATGAAATAAGATCAAGATTTTTAAATCAAAGACTAAAGTAGTACATATTTTTCAAACTTTTAACGTTAAGATCTTTGAAAAAAGATAAAAATTAAGACGGCGATGTCTTGAGTTAAAGACTATAACGTAGAGTTTGCAGTAACACGATAAAAATCTTTAACAAAACTATTTTAGTTGAAGATAAAAGATAAAGATTATAAAATAATATAGCAATCTTTAAGATAAAGGTAAACGATAAGATAAAGATTTGTTGTTCAATTTTGAAAAAATTCTAAGTGAATGCTTGAAATAAGATAAGGATTCTAAAATCGCATTCCAAGATCTTGAGATAAAGATTATAAAGTAGAGCCTATAAAAACACTATAGTGATCTTGATGTTTTTGTTCAAATTTTTAACAATAAAATCTTTGAAATAATATAAAGATTATAAAGCAGACATTTGAATAGATAAAAATCTTGGAAAAATATGGCTACTATGTGCTTCTCAAATGAAATAAGTTAAAGATTTTTGAAATAAACAGATTTGAGGTGAATGCTTAAAATAAGATAAAAATTTTAAAATTAGATTTCAATGTCTTGAAATAAAGATTATAAAGCAGACCGTGGGTAACATTACAAGTAAAGATTTTAATCTTTCTATTTCAATTTTTAACATTAAAAGCTTTGAAATAGGATTAAGATTTTAAAATAAGATGGCAAAGTCTTGCAGTAATACTATAAAAATCGTATGAAATTTATTTTTGATGAATATAAAAATAATATAACCAACTTAAAATAAAGATAAAAGATAAATTAAGATAGAAAAATAAAAAGGTAAAGATTACAGTAGTTGAATTTTGAAAAATGCTGGTTAATTTATACGTATATTTGGATACTTGCCTCAAGATTTTGATTTTAAAATCTTTGAGAAAACTCTATTAAAACAATGTTCTCAAGAGTTTTTTATATTTTTAAAAAAAAATTACGTATACAGGATGTTTCAATTAAAAAGGAAAACGATGCAACTTTTGCCCATCATTTTTATTATTTATACAAAAGTAGAGATTTAAATAACTAATTTGCATCGAGGCCAAGCGATAACAAATAAAACCTTCATTCATGAAAGAATGACTGATTAATTAATGTTAAAACAAATTCGTGTTATATTTAGAGTCTTTGCTAATAGTGTGATAACATTTTTCTCCAGAATCAAACACACCACAATTCAAAAGCTACTCTCTCACCGGAAACGCAGCAAGTCAGCTCAGCCAATCAGTGCGCGAACGCTTGATGATGGGTTCACAAAGTCTTCCAAAGGGCGCTGGGCAAGACTATGGGCTAGTTTTAAGACAAGGGAGACCCAAGGCTAGTGATGGGTCTTTATCCGACACTCAAGCGATTGAAAATACCAGTCCTTATGCTCCGTGGCTTCGACACAGGTATTTTTTTTTTAATTTTTTTTTTTGAAATCATATCAATTTTTTGTAGCAATACGTACTCAGTGGCCCCCCGATTGTCTGAGACCGACAGCATGGAAAGCCTTACAAGTCTTCCCGGACATAGAAGCAGTCTCACACACACAAGACTCCTGAGGGATTCCCCGTCTAGACTTAGTAGAAGTAATAGTATAAGGTAAGTCGTGACAATGTTGCCAACAAAACAACACCGAAACAAAACTGCAATAAATTTTTGTTTGTGGACAGCTATCTGAGAGAACGGACTTTCCCCAGGTATTGAGCGGAATCCAGAAACAGTTAACTATTTTTAAACCAAATATTTATAACAATTTAATGTACAGGGTGTCCCAAAAGTCGCGTACTAGAGAAAAGATGAGATACCAAGAACATGGAAAAAATGTTTAAAAAAATCTATCTACATGAATTTCCAAATTGTGGGAGTTTAAATTTTGCAATTTACACTTAAATGTGAAAAAATAATTGTTAATTTTTTTTGACAGAATTTTTAAATACTTTTCTCTGTTTCCGTTAGTACGCTTTTTTGAGACGCTCAGTATTTGCCATTATTATGGATGTTTGGTGGCTTGAGCACCATTGTTTCGTCCGCTTTCGTTGTGTTTCACCGTAATTTTTGACAAGATTTCACACCACCATTTGCTTCATGAATTTTTGCGAAAATTGCATTTTGATTGAGTTTGGTTTTGTTGCAGGTCTACCAAATCCGAAAAGTTGTACCCCTCGATGTTGCATCGTAACACTGAGCCTGAGACAGAACCGTACTATTGTTTACCAATTGGGGCCCTCAGTCATTGGTCTCAACCTACCAGTCCTGCACCAGGAAACGCAAGGACTTTTCCTTTGTCTCCCACACATTCGTCGACTCCTAGACACAGTATGCCGAAAAATGATGACGGTAAGAGAGATTTGAAGCCGGTCCTGTGTTGTTGAAATAAATTTTGATGAGGCTTTGCGAGATAATGAGCTGTTAAACAGGATCGTTAAATTTTAATAGAATTGCAAGTTTTTGTTTGTTTTGAGTTGGAATTAAGTCGTTTCCATGCAAATTGCTGGATTGGGAGTTGGTTATTTTGGTGGATTTTATGTTGTGAGAGTGGAAAAACTTTAAATGAAATTTTGTGTTTGAGAAAAATTAAGACGAACTTATTAAACTGATCGAATAAAAAAGAACAAAATAAAAACAATAAATCCTCCAGGTTTTGAGTTCATATTTTTGTCTCGAATTTTTTCAAGATGTATATTTTGTTTTCTGAATAAATATTAACTTTTGCTTCTGTTTGTTTAAAAAGTCTATATTTTTTAAATTAATAAAAACATGTACAAGTAAGTTGTATTTCAGAGAATAAAGAGTTGTTTCTAGTTGTTTTGAATAAGAAATCTTGAGAAAATTATAACAGTTGTTTTTGACAAAATTCTAATATCAAGATTTTTAAAACATTTATTGATTCTTGAAGTTGAGTTTTGAATATAACATTTTAAGATCAAGATCTTATGACGATGAGTTCTGAGTAACTTTCTAATGATGATATGAGTTTTATAAGAAGCATTTTGTCGCACTTACTTTTTTATGACACTCCTCACTGCGCTCGTAGTGCTTTAAACTTCAAATAACGCCTTATAAACGAAATATCATACACTATTTTTTCTAGTTTGCATCTTTTTTAAACAAAAAAATACCTTAATAAAAGTTTATTTAAACGTTTCTCTAAATTTGACCGTGAATATTTAAAAAAAATTATAAAATAAAGGCTTCAAAATAACGCAAAACCTTAGAATAAAAATTGCAAACTATTATTATTAGACGTTTTTCTCAAAGTGTTAACGTGAAAATCTCTGAAATAAGATAAAAGTGAATGAAGTTGGATTTTAAAAATTTTGTTTTAAGTTTATTCTCAAAATCTTTATAATATTTTTTTGAAGATTTAAGTTTTTATTTAATAGTTTTAAAATTTAAATAATTTAATCTTAATCTTTCTTTTCATTAAAATATTTGCATTGTTTTTCAGAGTATTTACTGTTTAAACATGTAGAAAATCTGATACTAATTATTTTGAGATATGGTTTCAATATTTTGAAATATTTAAAAAAATACAATTTTTTCTTTACTAGTAACTCTATCTGTTTAATTATATTTATTGATATCTTGTAAACAAAACTTAAATCAATTTAAAATTTTGTCTGGATTTCAACAAATTTCAAAATAATTGCATTTTTTATTGTTTATTAAAATTTTTGATTTTTAATTGTTTTGACATTAAGAAAAGTGTCTTAGATTTTGATGTAAATTTTTAAAAAAGAAGTCGAATTATTTCAAGAATATCAAATTTTTGCTATTTAGTCCATTCTAGAGTGGGGTAAAAACTTTAAAACAGAGAGGATTTTTGAAATTTTATTTTGGTTCGCTTTATTATCGCAATGTTAAAGAAAGGAGACCACTGGTTTGTGACCTCTCCTCTTATTGTATGTTTGCTCCGCCCAGGTGTGTACTTCTAGCTTTTACCTCACTCTAACATATATTTGTGTTTTGTTGGTTGTCTACCCTCAAGGGTATAATATTGAATTCACTGTTTTTACGTGTTTTTTAGCATAAAATATACCTAAATAAAAAAATGTCGATATTTTTACGATACACAACAGTAGTTTTATCGTATTCTACTGTTTGAATATAATAATTTATGAAAATATGTGTTTTTTTGGTTGCATACGCATAAGGGTTTATTATAATTTTATAAGAATATCAATCTCAAATAATTTGTTTAATTGATGATAATTTCAGAGTAAGTGGCAAAAATATTTATTTATTCTTGAATGACTCACCATTTTTTTAATACGATAGAATTTCTCATTGATTTACTCGAGAAATATGAACATTCTTCATTAGATTATTTTATTATTTAATTACCTAGTTAATAATTTTGTTGATATTTTTTAGTGCATGGTTCCTCGATAAGCCTCGTCTCCACCGCCTCCAGCCTCTACTCCTCCGCCGAAGAGAAGCAAGCCCACGAAATCCGAAAACTTCGCCGCGAACTAACCGAAGCTCAAGAGAAAGTTCAAACATTGACATCGCAGCTCAGCACCAATGTAAGTCTTTGAATCCTTTCGCTACAAGCTTTTAATTAAAACACCATTCATAACAATTTCAAAAGCGATCTTTGAGTAAAAGTTTCTGTGATCCGATTATGAAAATAGGGGCTTTGTGTGGGTTTTTAATGATGCAACGATCGTAATGCGACTTAATGTTCGGAAATTTCGCTCGAGGCTCATGAAGTGATGGAAGTCCTGCAGCGATTTCGTAATGGTTTATAATAACAGAGGACCGACAGAGGAGGTTTTTAGTAATTATCCTAACGATTCGACCAGATAAAACAAGAAAGGTTGCTAGTTTTGAAACACTTGTTTGTTTGCTGACAATTAGCATTTTTTGAAACGAATTTTGACAGTGTTGTAATTTATTGAAAGATAATTTCTTCAAAAATTACATGGTTCTCTTAATTCGAACTTCCAAATTTGTTAAATTAATTTGTTTAGACTGCTTTCACTTCAAACTACTAATCAGCGGTGATTTATTATGTAGTCGATCTATTACATTATTTGACCTTCTATTGACAACAATGACAAATTGATGTTGTTTTTTTATCTTTTACACTACCTAAATGTGATTAATTAACTTCAAATCTCTGCAACAGCAAACTTTTAAATCAAGGAAAAAAATTAAGAAAAATTATTACTTGTTTTACTAACACAAACCAGCAAAGTTTTTCAAATAATTAATTACAATTTTCATGATATGGATTTTAGTTTTATTTTTTCATCTTCTATATTGTCTTTCATCTCTTTTTTAAAATAAGTTTGAGTTTTTAAGGTTCTCTTTTTTGCTATTTAAAAAAAAAATCAAACAAAACAAAAACAAAAAAGAGAATTAATGTAGGTACTAAGTTGCCTTGTGCAAAAGCCAAATGTAGAGACAAAGTAGTAAAAAAGCAATTAAATTTTTAAGAGAAGTTGAAATAATGCAATAAAATATAGAGTGTTGTATTTGTAATTTGTCATTTTCAAAAAATCGTAGTAGGCGATGGAATATCGACTCCGAGTACGCTTTAATCTCAAAAGATGCGTTAAATCTTAAGTAAGTGACTTGAAAAAAGTTAGTAAATTTATCTTGAATTATTCTGAAGTTATAAATTTTTTTGTGGGTCTATGCACGACACTATTTTGACACATAAATTGACATAAGTCAAGAACTATTGTAGATAAGTATACGACATGTATCGACAATTTAGTGGCGAATCCAAAAATGTAACAAAAATTGGAGGTTTTTATTTAAAAAAAAACAGAACTGTGTTGTGTATTTTTTGGGACCTGTATATAATTAGAAAGATTTTTAGAATGTGTCTCATTGTTGGACATATCGTTCAAAAAAAACCTCTTTTTCTTGCATAGAAAAAAAGTTATGGAGCTTGCACGCACCTCTGGGTCACCCTGTATACCCAGAAAATTGTAAAGAAGAAAAAACAATTCAGTAAAAAAAAATATATATCAAGCTGCAAACATTTAATTTTTTAAGGAAAGGAAAATTTCTTGAATAAAAAATTTCAGTAGAGAATGTTCAAGAAAGTTGTGGAGATTAAAAATTCTCTAGACTTGCAACAAAACAAAAAAAATAGAAGTAAAAATTTTAAAGAAGAATGTCTAGTATTTAAAAAAGTGTGACTAGAAATTTTTTTAAATCGAGTTTGAAAAGACTTACGATTGGGGAAAACAGAAAATATAAAAAAAAATACGTTAAAAGATGCTCTAGACGTTATAAAATATACCTACTCAGAAATTGTAAAGAAGATATTCTCGAATTATAAAAATAAAAGAGTAAAAAAACTTCAATAGTAATATCCCGAGTGCACAAGAGGTATTTCCCGAATAAAATTTACAAAAACAATATTTCCATTTTGAAAAAAAAATATGTCAATCAAATCCTTCAAATTTCTGAGATTCTTCCAATCAGATTCGCAGTAATTTAGCAATTATCGCTTAATTTGAATCTGATTGGATGAATCTCAGAAATTTGAAAGATTTGATTGCCTTAAATTTTGTGAGGGAAATAATCAGAATTCAGAATAATGAACTAAAAACAGTTAAAAAAGAGTAAAAATCTCGCAAAAAACACTTTATTAAAAGATATATACACTTGCAAAATTCTAAAAAAGAAATTCTCGAATTAAAAATCTTAGTAGGGAATTTTTAAAATATCTAAAAATAGAACTCAGGGGGAAGTTTTTGTATTTTCAGTCTTTCACTGTATTATTTATGAAGTGTGAAATCGTTTTTTTATCACCGAAACGTTTTGCTAAGATACAAAGAGTCGTAATAATAAATTTTTTCTCATATCATTGAACACAACTTTCCCCCAAAATCCCTACGCCCCATTTTCCGTCAGGTGCCCCAGGCTCGTATAATTTTCCACTTCATTTATCGCACACTGTAATGTCAGGAAGAAAAAATCTCTCACATCCTCCTGCTCACACACAGTTGCGCTTTATTCTTAGAAGACGAGTTTTTTCGAAAAAATCTATTCAGTGATTGGAATTTTCAAGAGCGATTGTCTACTTTGATTCCTTAAATAGAAGAAACCAGCCGACAAGTACTAATCCCATCCGGTAGGAGTAACTCTACGCATTTCTGCTACATCCATAATAGAGATGCGAGATAAAATCGTTGATTATCTCTAATGAGACAGATTTGTTGCTTTTGCGACAAATGTTTCACTTTGCGGGAGGTTTATTGTTTATTGGGATATTCGGATGAAAAACCGCTACATTTCCCGTTAGATTCCGTATACAGGGGGATCAATTAACCGACACAGACATAAATAATAAACTTAGACCTAATGACGGCCATTAAAACAACATTGGGAACGCAAAATTGATTATTGGAGAAATTTCCACATATTGGAAAGCTATTCAAATAATTAAGTACTTCAAATTATAGTAATTTCACTCATACAAATGTGTTAAAATCAATAAGAAAATTGCTTGTTGTAAATACCACAAAATTGAGGTTAGGCTCATCTTGACAGGTTATTGACTCTAACACCAACCTTGCGAAAATAAAGTTTTTTTCTTGGGAATCCATTTATACCGGCTTCCTGTTAAAGCTACTCAAGATTCCTGTACAAAATATTTCAAACGTAAACTTTTTATTGCAATAATGATAAATTTGGTGTTCTATTTATTAACGAAAAGGAAAAATTTTAAGCAAATCCGCCACGAATTAGAAATTTTTACAAAAATTCTACTTTTTCTAAAAAAATCTGTTCTGTTTAGTCGTTTATTTTTGAAAACGTTTTTTTAAATTATTTATTATTATTTTTTCATGAAATTTGACTCTCCTCTCACTTTATTTGTTTTCTTTTTTTTTCAGTTTTATTTTTTGTTTAATAATAAAATTTTGTGCTTTGCATAAATAAGTTAAACAAAAAAGGGATAACATTTGATTACAAAAAATTAGTAGAAATCGTTTCCGAATTACCTACGTATTTAGAAAATGTTATTAGATGAAATATTTCACCTGAAATATAAAACAAGTATTTAAGTAAACCATTTCTGGGCATTTATAAATTTCATGGCAAGTTATCAAAGTAAATATAATTTATTGGAAAAATGTGTAAAATGACAATTATTAAAATTATCTGTAGGAAAAAATTATTTGAATATTATACAAAACCGGAAATTTTAGCTTTTTAATTTTCAATTTCAAATTGTGTATAGTTATGTATTGTATATTTTATTTTTAAGTAAAGTTTTTGTTTATATTTACCTTGTGTATTGATAAAAAAAAAACAAAAATTGATAATACTAAAAATTACCGTTTGAATGAATAATTTGAATCTTTACTTACTACTTCATGAATTTTTACATCTTTAGCTTACCAGTCAATGGAAACTAATAAAAAAGTTTTACGCTTTCAACTTTTTACATCTGATAATTTATAAAAATTTATCCGCAAAAGTCACAAAAGTTACCACTTTTATTACTGAATGGTATGAGTAAGTTTTACGTTTGAGGCATGGAGTAAAAATTCTGTTTTTTTTTTCTTAATCGTTTTTACTTTTACCGTGACATTATTGACATTTGTTGTTTCTTTCTTGCCTTTTTCAATGCTTCAGCATTTTCTGAAGAGGTATATTATTGTGGATCATCAGCATTCGACAATTTGTACTACTAACTGCACTAGTTAAATTAATAAACACCTTAAATCAATTAACTTTTATTACTATTATTAATATAATTAATTTACGATTAAAGTTATTTTATATTTCATAAAATGTACTTAGTTATAAAAAAAATGCGACAAATTTAGTAAAACACCTAAGTACATACACAATAAGCAACTAGTTTTAAATACTACAAAAATTGTGGTTATGCTCTTTTTGACAGGTCATTGACTCTAATACCAACCTTGCAAAAAAAACGTGAAAAAATTCAAAAGAATTTTTCCTGGAAATCCATTCATACCTGCTACTTGTCAAAGCCACCCAAGATTCCGTTACATCTTCACGTGTTGACAAAATATTTCAAATTCATTTCTTCGAGATAAATGACCCGTAATTGCAGCAATTATCTCCTAATAGGTATTTGCGTGTTGACATTGTAATTAAATATTTGCTTGCTAGTGCTTGAAATGTGGCTGACCGCGTGGTACTTTAATGCTAATTAAAATGCGTCGTGGTTAGGGTAGTATCTTTTGTAGTCTAGACCAAGATCATTTATCATCGTTTGAAGGAAACGAGCAACAAGTGCTACATAAAGAGTACTCTCACGTATCTCTATAGTAATCCAAGAGGGTTTTTTCTGTGCCCCTATTAGTAGCAGGTGGCTGTAGAATGACTGTTCTAACATTTCAAAGACTCACTCAGTGCCTGATAATTGATTTAAGATGGGTCGAGTCTGGAAATATACAAAACAGATTTGTTTTTAAATGTGTTCCGGGTTTATTCAAGAGAAAATTTGGCAGAATTATGGCCTGTAATGGCAGTACCACCTGTACGATTTTGTTATTTTAGTTGCCCGGATGTTATAACTCCTCAA